AAAAAATCAACCAGTCGTAGAAACTGATCTTTTCAGTTTTGGTAGAATGAGGGAATAAATGGCTGTTCTTCTAACCTGCCTTGTGCAGTGTGCTAGATTTTCTACTATAAAATGATCTCTTTTGGGTTGTCATTAATCTTCTTAATGATTTCTTGGGATAGAGGTTGGACTAGAACTCTGATTAACTCTTGCAAACCCACAGTTCTGATTCTGTATCCTTCAACTGGCGTATGAACTTGTCAAGGGTAGGGAACTGGGACTTACAACAACTACTGCCAAGGCCAGTCCCTTAGCAGATGCGCACTAAAGAGTCAATGATTTATGAGGCTGGCTGGTTTATATGATTACTTGCCGTCTAGAAGCACCCATAAAGCATGAGGCATAGCTTTTATGCTCTGGATCTATATTTTCTCAAACATTTTTTAACTTGTTGAAACTTAGGACAGTATTAAACAAACTGCTTAAAAATAGTACTCCTTTTCCCCTTCTCTGTAACCTCCTCCCCCAACAAACATACAAATATGAACCCAACATAGGCAATGTACCCCAAATACATAAGCACACACTCTCAGGTTCTAAGGCAAAAATCTTTCCCGAAAGACAGTATGTTAGAAAACAAGCAGCCGTGGGAATGAAAATCTTCCTTATCCTTCTAAAGCAATAAGGAGCACAATAAATAAGAAAGCAGAAGTATTTATGATTCACTACAGGAAGAGGCCTTTATGGATCTTTTATACCACCATATAATTATAATCATAAAAGGCAGAGACTTAGAAATAATTCAGAGATGACAGTGATGTTAGAAACCAGGTTTCCTCTTTGGGTTTTTTATTTTTTTATGTCTGAGACAGGGTCTTGCTCTGTCGCTCAGCTGAAGTGCAGTGGTGTCATCCTAGTTCAATGCTGCAGCCTCGACCTCCAGGCTGAAGCGATCCCCCCACCTTAGCCTCTCAAGTAGCTGGAACCACAGGTGTGTACCACCATGCCCTGCTAATTTTTGTATGTTTAGTACAGACAGGGTCTCACCATGCTGTCCAATATGGTATTGAACTTTTGGGCTTGAGTGATCCTCCCACCAGGGCCTCCCAAGTGCTGGGATTACAGGTATGAACCACCATTGAACCATCATGCTGGCCTTTTTTAGTGGTAATCTGATGCTGAGGGGCTGCACAGGTGGCTACTGGTATGCGGGGACCACAGCACAGGTCTTTTTGCTCCAAGTCTATTCTGTTGTACCGTGCAGTAGAAATATTGAGAAACTGATCTTTCTATTAGGTTCTGAAAGCCAAACTACACAAGTAACAAGAATCTGGAAAGGAAGTTCAGTTGGAAAATATTGCTAAATAAAAATTAAACTGCACGCAAAAAGTAAGCCTTCCCTAAAGAGAAACAGGAAACAAAAATGCCTAAAAATAACCAAGAAATGAGAAGGCTTTATTGTTACTAATTTAGAACTACCAATAACAAACATGTAGACACTAAATAAATGCATGGTTTGTATCTTGCTTTTGATTGAGTCACAGGAAGTACTATGAATGAGGACATAGGATAGACATAAGGCTGCTGTGTCTTTAATTTGATACTGCCCCTTTAATTCAAAGAATGTAAAAATATCAAAATCCACCACAGTAATCCGAATACTAATAATAGAGTTGCTGTCTGTGTTTGGTGAGACTACAAATTCAATTAATTCCAATGCTGGTTCCAATAAGCTCTTTATGAGTCTGAAGGGATTATTAACACTGCAAAGTTTAAAAGATTGAATCACAATAACAATTTCTTGCAAGCTTTTTGAAGCTTTGAGCAGGTTTGCTTTCATGGAAATAATCATCTATTAACTTAATGCAGTAGAAGGAGCAAGCAGGAAGAGAGGGAGCAAAGGAATGAGGGAGAAAAGGTGGACAGGGGAATCACAGCTCTCATTCTTAATCATTTACCAAGTGAAAGTCTGAGCTCAGTGACAGTGTCAGGTTTGTTTGTTTTTTTGGCTGACCCCAAAAAGATGAGTTCTATTTAGGATCCATTTTGCAAGACGGGGATATTTGACAAGATTGAATAAGGCTGGGACCTTTTTGAAGTTCACATATGCAACTGTAAGTAAACTGACTTGGTCTCTGCCTAGGCCCCTGGTCTGGGCACACGTGTCTAATTGGCAGACATGGTGCTGGTGGTTGGTGGCACTAGTGGTAGCAGGGAAGCATCATTCCATAATCTGGCACTAAAAAAAATAATAATAACAAATTATTTGAGAATGCCCTTCAAAAGAAGTAGGAGCTAAGTCACTACTGGTTTGTTTGTTAAATGATCAATTTAGGTCTAAATATTGCAATTATCATGGGCAAAATACTTCCACGCAGTGTTTAATACAGTCTTCACTCATGGGTAGCTAGAGGCAAACCTCAGCCTTAGCTGGAGTCTATACTTTTATTTAAAATACATTCAAGGTTTTCATAAATTCAAGTCCTGAAATGAATGACTCTTGTATTTCATGAGAAGCTATGAGGCCCAATTTTTCCAGCATCTTATTACATGGTGTAAAGGTCATGCTATAAGAATGCCTTCTCAGCCAGGCACCGTGGCTCACACCTCTCACCTCAGCACTTTGGCAGGCTGAGGCAGCTGGATCACTTGAGGTCAGGGGTTTGAGACCAGCCTGGCCAACACGGTGAAACTCCCTGTCTACTAAAAATACAAAATTAGCCGGGCATGGTGGCACATGCCTGTAATCCCAGCTACTTGAGAGGCTGAGGCAGGAGACTCACATGAACCTGGAGGTGGAGGTTGCAGTGAGCTGAGATCATGTCATTGCACTATAGATTGGGTAAAAAGAGTGAAGCTCCACCTAAAAAAAAAAGTGCCTTCTGCAAACATATTGTCACATTTCCTTTTCTGAGCCTTTGCACAGATGTATAGCTCACATCGTCCTGGGCTGGGATGGAGTTTCTCCTGCTCTACTCTTTTTTTTTTTTTTTTGAGACGAATTCTTGCTCTGTCACCCAGGCTGGAATGCAGTGGCACGATCTCAGCTCACTGCAACCTCCACCTCCCGGGTTCAAGCAATTCTCCTGCCTCAGCCTCCCAAGTAGCTGGGACTACAGGTGCACCCCACCACACCCAGCTAATTTTTGTATTTATAGTAGAAACGGGGTTTCATCATATTGCCCAAGCTGGTCTCGAACTCCTGACCTCGTGATCTACCCCCACTTGGTCTTCCAAAGTGCTGGGATTACTGTTAGATGAGCCTGAGCTTTTTCTTCAGCCTGCTGATCCCAAGGACAGGTCTTGGGCATGTCTGCACCCTGACTGACTGGCCACGTTCTGCATGGTCATTGGTCCTATCTCTCTTGATAACTCTCCAGCCTTCTTTGCCAATACTACCAATTTGCCACACACCAATTAACCTGGGCCCAGGATTGGGATGACCCCTTGTCTGCTCTTCTGTGGACCTCACATGTGTCATCTGTTCGGATCCACAATGTCTGGGAACTGCTGCTCGGTACTGGAAAGTGCTGGGAGTTTCCTCCCCTAGTGAGGGAAGGGAAGGCAGAGCCTGAAGGCAGCAAGCTATTAGAATGACCCTTTCTTAAATACAACAAGCCCTTTCTCTATGCCCTTTCCTGTTTCTCTGCTTCCCAAACACTCCTTTGCTGTGTCTATCCAGGATGAAAGTGTTGCCTCAGGCACCTCAAAGATCATTAAAGTGAAAAGCTGGGAGGGGACCTTTGAAAATCCTATTGCTCCACCCTCTGCTCTGGCCAGTGCTGCGGGTCACACAGACCTCACTGATGTGCCTGTGTTTGCTGTCCCTGCATCTGTCTGTCTTTCTGGTGTGGGACAGTCATGGAGCTGGGCGGGTCGGCCAGAGGGACTAGGGAAGCATGGCTGAGTGTGGAAGCACTTTCTTATAATGCCTTTAATGTGAGCCATAGGGAGGGTGATGGGAATTAAAAATACACACTATTCCTTGTAATGTAGAACTGTTCCATTTGGGCAAATCTGACAAACGATGAGAAGGGAAATGGAAGTAGAGATAGTAAGAAAACAGACTTCTTGGCACTGAGACTTCTTGGGTCTTGGGCAGCGCGGTTAGATCCGCCTGCTTTGCTGGGCTGTGGGGCTTCTCCTGGTTTGCCGTCAGAGAGTCAGCTTTGATCACTGCATTTTCATTCTGGTCCCAGGAGTCAGAGAATGGAGGAGAATTGCTCACATGCCAGGTGGGCTCGCATATTTTCATCTGGAAACAGGTGTTGGGGCAGCTTCAGCATCTCCTGGCTGTTGTTGGTTCAAAGTCCTAGGAAGTTTGGAGGGAGGACTACAGAACCCGGGGGGGAGACTCCGGGCACCCCCAGAGGGTGCCAACCATGGATGGTTGTCCTATGGGCAGTGCCACCCATGAGTGATCTTCTCTGTACCCTGAATTGAAAGATCCTGGAGTTAATAAGACCACAGCATCATGACTGTGGAAGAAACAGGAACACTTAAAGTGTCCAGTAGGCCAGGGGAATGTATGAACTATGTGAGCAATCAAGTCAAGAAATAGAGAATTGAAGCACCTTCAAAAAAGTGGTTACTCAGTATGACTTGACTAACACTTGTGCCCTACCTGGTCTTGAGCCGGAGATGCTCTCGGTGAGTCAGGAAAAGAAATAACCTTAAATCTGGGGCAGAGAAGTTGTGTGCTTGGTCTCAGCCCGACTGGTGATTCCAGTGGCCAAGAGGACGAGATGGAGTTGGGGAGAGAGGAAGAGCGCCGAGGAGGATGCGGTGCCAGGGAGATGCTGCTGGCGATGGGGCAGCTGGCATCCTGCGCTCAGTGAGATTGGCTGGCCCAGGAGCGTCCTCATTACAGCACAACTGCTGCCTCCATGATCACTGTGACAGGAGCACTGTGGGCCAGAAGGAGATGTGAGATGGGGCTGGAGGCTACTGAGGAGGGTGTTGAAATCATTGTTCTTTGCCCGGGCTTCACAGGGGGCTGCTGCCAGCTGCCTGCTAAGGTTGAAAGAGCTGCCACCGAAAAAGGGGCCCGTCCTTCCTGCTTCATCTCCAGAGGATGCACCAACCCCAGCCTGCAGGTCTGCCTCCGGGCCCTCTGGCTAGAGGGGGGTGGCAGGCTTCGAGGTAGGCCTGCTGTGTAGTTCTCTTTATGGGAGGCCACAGGGACAATTCAGCAGTGTGGTGAGGGGTTCCAAAGAGCTGGCTGGGAATGAACTCAGGTTAAAAAACAACAAAATAATACACTTCCGTGGAATTATCCTCAAATCAAAGAAAAGGACTGGAAAATTAATTATTTGAAGATATTGTTTAGGTGACCTCCAGGAGTCATGTTATCAAGGAGGAATAAATCCCTTTACAGCCCTTATGCTTTATCTGAGAGATTTTTTGTCTATTTGTTTGGACGAAGTTTCAGGTTTAATGGTGAAAAGTCTCTTGAATGGCGACACAAACAGTACCCTTGAGGTCACCTTTCCAATGGAGTGTGAGAATTAGCTGGGGGCTTCAGAGATAAGCCAGGGGTGTCGGCACCAGGTTGGAATGTGTATGAGTGTGCATGGGAAGGGAGGCAGCTGTGGAGAGGGATGTACGCCCTGCTGGGTCTGTCTGTGTTTCGCTTGGCACTCAGAAAAATACCAAGACTGGCCCTTACCTTCCAAAAAGGTAGCGGTGTTCTCTGCAAGCCTTTTACCAGGTTTTCTGACTTTTGAAACCAAGGAAACTTCTGGAAGAAGAAAAGACGTTGTGCATTTGTTGGTCACTCACGTTCCCCTTGGGAACGGTGACAAGTAACTGGTTACAGTGGCGCTGCCGTGTGGAAGGGTGACCTGCTGTGCTGCTGCTCCGAATGGGCTCACTGGAGGAGAATCCTGGCGCGGTCCAAGAATTTAATGGCTTTCCTCCTCCACACCATATTCAGCACAGTGCCCGTTTTATTGAGCCTCTGGCTCCAATGCATTACATAATCATACTATTTCCTATTGCGGTATGTTGGTCCTTCTGGCTCCGATGTGTTAAGCTAGTCATTCTCGTGTAGTCTTTTCGGGATCCAGGACTTAGCTCTAGATTATGGCTCCTTTTCAGTTGCTTCACTAGATAATATAACAAAAGTGGAGAAACTGGAAGGCTGAGATGCCCACATCCTAGTTCTTTGTGTAAAAAGGCACTTTATATTTTGAGGGAAGAAACTTTTGTTCCCCAAGCTTTTCTGTTTATTCCTTACAAATCTTTTTCACTTGGTTTATAAGACCAAGTGTGACTCTGATCACCATTCCCCTAGAAAAGCAGCCAGTGACAGCATCTCTCACGTGTTGTTATGAGAGACTGCAGTTTCACCGTGAGCGTTTAGTTAAGCCTTTAGTTGAACATCCGAAAGAAAATAGGACTCAAGTTTCTTTTCCACACTTCTGGGAGTGTGGTAGACCCTGATTTTTGACATTCCCAGTAGCCACAAGAGAGAGTTTGGGATCTGGATAGGGAGGTGCAATTGGAATTTGGAAGGGAGTAGAATAACCATTTTAATGTGCTGTCACTGTTGTAACATTCCATATATCTTCCAGCTTTAAAAATTAGGGAATCATTAGACTGATGATATATTAGGCGAATTGGGCATGGTTTAACTAGAACATGTTAGGTTGCATGGCAGCTGCTTTTTTTTTCTTAAATGATAATCCAAACAAAGAATCTAAAGAAGATAAGAATATAATGGTGTTGTCATTTTAATGAATATTAATTTGGAAACAATAATTAGAATCATGTATTTAGGGGGCAAAGATTAATTAATTGAGTAAATAACACCATTTACATATATGTAGCTTATGGCTGGCCCCAATGCACCATGAATCAGCTACTATGTGTTCACACATGGAATCGTTTATGGCCCTTTGAGTTGGCGGAATGGAAACCATGTAGCCTGGATGGTGTACCATTGGTTCCAGCGAACCATTGGAAAGTGTTATTTCTTCCTCTGGGTATTCGAATCTCCCCACTCTGACACTTGCCCAGTTTGATTTTAGCATTGACTATAGGGATGGGGTTGAGGATAGAGGTGGATGTCTCCCTATTCCCCAGATTCATATACAGGACACTCAGACTAATTTAGTTCCCTATAACTTCAAACTCTGTTTTCCATCTAGGCTAAATAAATTACATGAAGAATTATGTGATTACTTACTACATTGTTCTATTGTGCTTTAATTGGATTTGTACATATATCATAAGTGTGTGTATGTACATTTTTATCATAGCTGATCAAATAGTTGATCAGCTCCTTTGGGAGGCCAAGGTGGGCAGATCACAAGGTCAGGAGATAGAGACCATCCTGGCCAACGTGGTGAAATCTCATCTCTACTAAAAGTACAAAAATTAGCTGGGTGTTGTAGAGCGTGCCTGTAATCCCAGCTACTTGGGAGGCTGAGGCACGAGAATCTCTTCAACCAGGGAGTGGGAGGTTTCAGTGAGTATGGCGTTAACTTGATATTTATATAATCAAAATGTTGAACAACAGGTGAACTTACATAAACTAGTGTACATACATGTGGATTAATATATAGACATTACTACTATTTATGAATCCAAAAATGCTCAATATATAACATTAAGTACCAAGATGAGAACATCAAACTATGTATTACAGTGATCTCATATCTTATAAAAACATTACAGAGGAAAGAAACATATAGAAAATAAGCCAAAATATGAATAGTGGTTATCTGTTGGTTGTGAGATTGCTGTTGATTTTTCTTTTCTGAAAAACATTTTCTACAATAAACACAATTTTTAAAATCAGAAAGGTATTTTTATTCTAGAACTTTCTCTAGGACACATTTTTAATAATTTTTTTTTAAATTATAAAAATAGTCATAACATAGATTTTTAAAAATGTATGTAGCATTAGATATAAGTGTTTTCTTTATACCTGCTCACAGAGTTGACTGAATGTATCTAAATAAAATTTGCAAACCAGGCTCTGATCAGGTGCATACCATTATTAGAAAATAGTTTCTAAAGAAAAATATGGTCTGAGGAGATTTTTACTTTCATTGCCTTCTGTAGGCACATAATCTGCCAGGAACTGGAAGCCTGTCAGGGGGTTTAACAAATGAGGTTTATAAGCCTTTCTTCAGTTCATATTGGTAGCACTTCCTTACTAGGATGTAAATACCATGGCTGGTGACGTGGAGCTATTAGCATTGGGAAAGACACTGGGGGATTTGAAGTAAGGGTCAGGAGAACCATCACGGGCTATGATTGCAGGTCAAAGACAGGTCAAAGGTGGGAGATGCTCTTTCCTCTATCCTCTGACAAGATAGGAAACCTTAGCTGGTCATATGTGGAGAGGAGAAAATCCTCTTGCTTTAGTTGATGACCACAAGAATGTCTTTTACAGGAAAGAGCTATTGTTTGGCTTGACCATTATGGTTGGGTAAAGAAAGCTGTTATGGCCAGGATGGTCTAAGCAAGAGAAATCTTAGCTGAATGACTCTCACTGAGAATCAAATGGGACATTTGGGGTGCATATAGGGACAAGTGGAGTGGAGAAGGGAGAGGAGGAGCGGGAGGTTAGGGGTGTGTGTATGGTCAAAAATGAAGACAGTCTTAATAGAAGACAAAAAACTCTGTGATCGTGATGGAGTGATGATGATACGTGATAGCTGCAGGTCTTTTAAGAAGAGCAGGGATTTCTCTTCTGCTAGTGTGTGCTGCATTGTAAGTAACCATTCCACACCTTCAGCCAATGTGACCTGGAATTTTCAGTAAAGAGTCTGCTATGTGCGGTGGCCATGGGTCAATAGTCCTTTTGCAAAATCCAAAAGAAGGGGCTATATCCCATGAATGAGATGACATAAAAAAAAAAAAAAAGGAAGAGAGGGCTGGGCACGGTGGCTCACGTCTGTAATCCCAGTGCTTTGGGAGGCCAAGGTGGACAGATCACGAGGTCAGGAGATAGAGACCATCCTGGCCAACATGGTGAAATCCCATCTCTACTAAAAATACAAAAATTAGCTGGGTGTGATAGAGTGTGCCTGTAATCCCAGCTACTCGGGAGGCTGAGACAAGAGAATCTCTTGAACCAGGGAGTGGGATGTTGCAGTGAGCCGAGATAGTGCCACAGCATTCCAGCCTGGTGATGGAGTAAGACTCCATCTCAAAAAACAAAAAGCAAACAAAAAACAGAGAGACAGAGAGGGGTGGGGGGCAGGGGGTGGGGGGGTTGGGGGGGGAATGACAATGACCACGAGTGAGACATTAGGATTTTGGTATAGAATTGGAACCAAAGATGTCAGTATAAAACATGAGCCTCCCAAGAGTCCCCAGAAATACCGAGAGGCTTGCTGGGCTCCCTGCTGCATTTAGAATAAGGTTTGAAACAATTTGATCAGAATCTCAAAGGCAGAATTGCCCCAGTTGACATCTGTGTTACATTTGTACTTTTGCCAAAGCAGATACTTAATGGTTAATACTTTCAGGTTAATTGACTAATTGATTTTGGCTAAGCAAATGCCTAGTTTAGGAAAAGGTCAGTCCAAAGTTTGGACACTCATCAGGTACAAGTAGGTTTAGTCTTTCACTGCCTGCTTTAAGTGATACAATTTGTAGTTGAGACTCACAATTGTCAATTATCTGTTCTCCTGGCAATATTTTAAGAAGTAGGCATGGGAAGAAAATAGCCATAAAGACATTTAATCAGTTAGAAGAATGGGGTTTATTTCTCCCTACTGGGTGATGTTTTCCAAAAAGTCTTCAGAGAGTTTAAGCTGATTAATATTTGTCACATCAAAACCACATAATTGCAATTCAGCCTGTTAGAATGCCCATATCTTACGGCCCAGGGCAGAGTAATCAACTTGTCACCAAAATTCCATTTGTTTGTTACTCAAACAAAAGAGCAGAATTGGATATTATGTCAATGCTGCTAGTACTGATTTTCAGGGCTCTTCTTTCCCTGAGTAATTGAAGTGCTGGATCAGGAATATTTCCAAGGGTAAAAGCCAGATCCATGAGTATGGCAATGGGGCACATCCTGGCTATCAGCTATTAATCAAGGTGTTGAAAAGTGATGGCAAGAGACCTCATTTTGGACACTTCAGTTTCTTATTCAAGAGTTCAGAGGATTGTCTTTTTTT